GGAGAAGGGCCTTGGTCAGGGAGGTGACCAAGAACCCAATGGTCACTCTGACAGAGCTCCAGAGTTCCTCTGTGGAGATGGGAGAACCTTCCAGAAGGACAACCATCTCTGCAGCACTCCACCAATCATCTCTGGAGAGACCTGAAAATAGCTGTGCAGCAACGCTCCCCACCCAACCTGACAGAGCTTGAGAAGATCTGCAGAGAAGAATAGAAAAACTCCCCAAATACAGGTGTGCCAAGCTTGTAGCGTCATACCCAAGAAGACTCAAGGCTGGAATCGCTGCCAAAGGTGCTTCAACAAAGTACTGAGTAAAGGGTCTGAATACTTATGTAAATGTGATATTTCCATTTTTTTATTTTTAATACATTTGCCAAAAAAAAATCACCTGTTTTTGCTTTGTCATTATGGGGCATGGGGTCAGGAAGAGAGAGGAGAGGTCAGAGAGAAAGATAATGACATCACTCATCTACAACACTCAACTGGGTTACAGTGAAGGGGAGAGAGCAGGGAGAGAGAATTTGAACTGGGGAGCCCAAGGACTGATGCTACAGAGATGACCCACGGACAGGCGACCAACCAGACCACCACCACCCCTGACATCTGGGCTGAGCTGAAAGAGCTGAGAGACATGGTGGTGGAACCATGTAGCTCAGTTGGTAGAGCATGGCGTTTGCAACGCCAGGGTTGTGGGTTCGTTTCCCACGGGGGACCAGTATGAAAAAAGAAATGTATGCACTCACTAACTGTAAGTCGCTCTGGATAAGAGCGTCTGCTAAATGACTAAAAAAACACACACAAAAAAAAAACAGAGTGGAGTCTAGTCTAGTCACATCAGTGTTAGACCTTACAGAATCAGAATCACCTTAATTCAAATACATTTCCATGTACAGGAATTTGACTGTGTGAAATGGTGTTGCCACAATAAACAGAATACACAGACAAAAGGAATACACAGACAATACATGGAATATACAGACAATACATGGAATATACAGACAATAAAAGGAATACACAGACAATAAACAGAATGAACAGATAATAAACAGAATATACAGACAATAAACAGAATATACATTAGGCCTACTCCCTTCGCCAGTCTTGTTCCTCCCAAGGTTTCTTCCTATATGGAGAGTTTTTATTGCTGTTATTTGTCGCGATTCTTGCCCAGGTTGTCTCTAAACATTTGATTTGCAATGCATTTTTTGAAAGCATTATACATAGTATAACATTACACTGAATTTTTTTGCCCTATAATGTTTATTGATGTTTTTTTTGTTGCCCATCATTCTAGCCCAAGCAGCTGCAGAACTGTCCACCATGGGGGCCAGAGTAACAGCTAGTGAGAGAGAGGTGGAGGAGCTGAAGAGAGAGAATGCAGGTAATAAACATACAGTATGTCTGACTATGAACAAGGGATTTGTTTTCATTGGTTGAAATAAGGATCACCTGATGTGTGTTTTGTTCCTCATGCTCCCAGTACAAGCGGCAGAACTGTCAGCCATGGGGACCAGGATGACAGCCAGAGAGAAAGAGGTGGAGCTAGAGAGAAAATGCAGGTGTAGTGCTGAATAATATGTAACAATCTACGTTTAATACATAGTAAAACCATGTCCAATCATTGTGAGTTTAGCTGACTAAGATCAAGAAATGGTCATGAGGAGCAAACACTAAAGACAAATGTATTTAATTAATATTGGATCATGAATGGATTCACTTACAAGGCATAAAGTTTAAGATACAAGGCAATACTGACATTAACAAAGCATAATTCTAGGCATACAGATCCTAAGGGTAACTTACAAGACAAAGCATGATGTAATCAGACCCACTAGGCTACAGGCCTATGGGCTAACCTAATAGAGGGAAGCATTTTCAAACAACCTTTTTCCATGAGCAGGATACAAGATAAGAGGGAGCAGAAATTACTTTCATTCCATGCATACCAGATCTGACTTGTTTATATTCTAAATCATATTAAAATAAGATATCCAATCAGATTGGACAGTGTTGAGAGTTTACCCTAAACAGATACAAGTTACCACAGAGATAATACATCCATATCGATGGCACCTAAGTTCTCCTCAGAGGACAACTTTCAGATAGGTACCAAACATGGATGCAATAGTGTTCTTCTAACACACATTTCTGTAGTCAATTCTCTGGTTACTGTTAGAGAGAGAAATAAATGTTGTCCTCTTAACCGGGGAGGGCTGTCCAGACCCTAAAAGTATTGTGTTTTGTTGGACCATTTGCAATGAGGCCAGAGGGGACAGAGAGCACACAAGTTATGGCCGGGCCTACACAGGTAAGACAAACAGATGTTCAGAAAAGTCTCATCTGTCACCTTGTCTTGCAAAAAATAGTACCTGCTATTTCTTATAGAAATGGGAGCATAGAATACATTTCTCAAAAATGCTCAATATTGGTCTGGATCGTTTATCCTTGTTGCATGGTTTTCACAAAATGTTTCTCCCCGGTGTTCAGAGACCAAAGGTGTCTTTCTTTGTTAGTTTAAGTAACACTGCGGGACCCTTCAATACTGACACCACCCTGGTCCACACCAATGTCGTCACCAACATCAGCCAAGCCTACAGCCTGGTTACAGGTACTGCTTACACCAATGTACACTGAACAAAAATATAAACGCAATATATACGTGTTGGTCCCATGTTTCATGAGCTGAAATAAAAGATCCCAGAAATCTTCCATACGCACAAAAAGCTTATTGCTCTCAAATTTTGTGCACACATTTCTTTACATCCCTGTTAGTGAGCATTTCTCCTTTGCCAAGATAATCCATCCACCTGACAGGTGTGGCATATCAAGAAGCTGATTTAACAGCATGATCATTACACAGGTGCACCTTGTGCTGGGGACAATAAAAGGCCACTCTAAAATGTACAGTTTTGTCACAGAACAACATGCCACAGATGTCTCAAGTTGAGGGAGCGTGCAATTGGCATGCTGACTGCAGGAATGTCCACCAGTGATGTTACCAGAGAATTGAATGTTCATTTCTGTAACATAAGCTGCCTCCAAAGTCATTTTAGAGAATTTGGCACTATGTCCAACCAGCCTCACATCAGCAGACCATGTGTAACCACGCCAGCCCAGGACCTCAACATCCGGCTTCTTCACCTGCGGGATGGTCTGAGATGAGACAGCTGATGAAACTGTGGGTTTTCACAACCAAATAATTTCTGCACAAACTGTCAGAAACCATCTCAGGGAAGCTCATCTGCGTGCTCATCGTCCTCAATAGGATCTTGACCTGACTGCAGTTCGGCGTCGTAACCGACATCAGTGGACAAATGCTCACCTTCGATGGCAACTGGCACGCTGGAGAAGTGGATGTATTCATGGATGAATGGATGAATCCCGGTTTTAACTGTAACAGGCAGATGGCATCATGTGGGTGAGCAGTTTGCTGATGTCAACGTTGTGAAGAGTGCCCCATGGTGGCGGTGGGGTTATGGTATGGGCAGGCATAAACTACGGACAACGAACACAATTGCATTTTATCGATTGAATTTGAATCCAGAGATACCATGACGAGATCCTGAGGCCCATTGTCGTGCCCTTCATCTGCCGCCATCACCTAATGTTTCAGCATGATAATGCACGGCCCCATATCGCAAGGATTTGTACACTATTCCTGGCAGCTGAAAATGTCCCAGTTCTTCCATGGCCTGCATAATCACCAGACATGTCACCCATTGAGCATCTTAGGGATGCTCTGGATCGACGTGTAGGACTGCGTGTTCCAGTTCCCACCAATATCCAGCAACTTCGCACAGCCATTGAAGAGGAGTGGGACAACATTCCACAATCAACAGCCTGCCTGACCAACTCTATGCGAAGGAGATGTGTCATGCTGCATGAGGCAAATGGTGGTCACACCAGATAAGGACTGGTTTATCTGATCCCACACCCCTACCTTTTGTTTTTAAGGTATATGTGACCAACAGATGCATAACTGTATTCCCAGTCATGTGAAATCCATTGGTTAGGGCCTAATGAATTTGTTTCAATTGACTGATTTCCTTATATGAACTGTAACTCAGTAGAATCTTTGAAATTGTTGTGTTTATATTTTTGTTCAGTGTACATGTATGAAGACCCATGTCCACAGGGCCCCATCTACAGACACTGAGACCAACATCACTACCAGACTGCTCCAGTGTCTATGAGAGACAGACAGTATTGATCTCTCTGTCTTCCCTCTGATACAGGTGTCTTCACAGCTCCAGTGAGAGCAGTCTTCTACTTCTGATTCAGCACCATGATACCAGCAGCTCAACATTGGGGTCATCTGAGTTCATGGACATACGTTTTGTTCAATAATCAACCGGGTTTAATGTGGGCACAACAGTACATTAGTACTGGGGGTTTTGAGAATGTATCCAGTGATGTGACTCTAGAGCTGGAAGAGGGGGACTTGGTCTACATGAGTCTCCCCTCAGGCAATAGGCTCATTGATAGTTACAATAAACACAGCACCTTCGGTGGCTTCCTGCTCTTCCTCGTGTGAGGGAAACACTATTACAGCTGTAATGAGCCCAAATGATATAAAAGCCTGGGGTACGCTGAAATCTTTCTGTATAAAACATCATCATTAAAAACTGTGTGTTGAATGTGTGGAAAACAGGATTTTATTCAGTTGTGAGAAGAACACAGTTTGGTCTGAATTCACAGACACAGTCAAATACAAGTGGGCATATAGACAAAACAGTAAAGAATTACAATACTAAAATACATCAGCAATACATAGCAAAAAGAATATGGAGGGGAGGAAGAAAAGAGAAAGGGGGAGAGAGACTCTTGTGGGTGCAGGTGTCCCCAGGTTAGCATGGTGTGTCCTTACAGCAGTCTTCTTCTACACTCAGAGAGGAGACAAGAGTTATAGAGTGGTCTCTTCCAGCTGTCTTCCCTCTGCACTCCAAGAGAGATAAGATGAAGAAATAGAGGGATGAGATGGAGGTATAGAGGGTGGTCTCTTATAGCAGTCTTCCTCTGCACTCCGTTGAGCCACAGCAGCACAGCAGCTCCTTGCCCTCCACACTGCCAACCTCGTAGTTATAGTCCCACGTCAACTCTGTCCCTGCCCGGATACGCCTGCACACACACATGTTAGTAGATTATTAAAAGTGGTCAACATTCACAAGTGCTCAGCACAAAACCACACATCAAATAATACATGTCTTTATCAGAGTAACAGGGTCTTACCACATCTATGTAACCATGTCTAACACAGAACACTCACTTGCTGGCGAAGAAGGCCACCCAGGGGAAACGCAGGTCGTGTGTGTCTACAAACACATTCTGGACAAACAGGTTAGCACTGCAGCTATGCTGTAAGGAGGAGCGATGAGAGGGAGAGAAGAGAGAGAGCTTAATTCCCTTTGTCAAATTACATTTAACTCCACTTAATTAAACACACGCCAGGGTTTCCGTTAGGAAAATGTGTCGCCGTATGCATTGGGTGCGTAACCTGAGTAGGGCGTCCACCCACGGTGCTCAGAATCACAGAAATCACATTTAGAATATGATAATTCATATTAACAGAACATGAAAGTCCAGGATACAACGATATGCAGTCCTTCCCAAATTCTGATGTGCACTTTGAACACATTTCACATTATTTTCCTCAGCCAACAAGACTAGTAACAAACAACACTATCCTATGTCAATCTACTATAGTAGAAAAGTTTAGGCTACCTATTCTATTGGTCAGCTTGTCGAGAAAGAAATAGCCTATACAAACAGACTCTGGGACAGTTGTGGGACGATAGTTGAGGAACGTTTAGCTTCACATTATAAGAGCAGCAATGTGTACAAGGCAGCAGGCTACGTGTGAATGTTCATTCAATAATGTAATTAGTGGTAAAACACTTGTCAAAAGGGCACTGCATATGTGAGCAGTTTCATGTGACAGAGATGAAAATATCAGTTAGAAATGTAGAAAGAGGAGATCTAACAGGCTTCTTCGAAGCAAGGTAAGACATGCCTCATAATATGTATTAAAACTTTCAGGTTTCAAACAATTAAGTATGTTTTTAAAATGCATACTGCCTCCAGTTCATTGCAAAGTGGTGTGTGGCGCACTGATGAAGCCTGCCTTCCGTTGCTGTTTGATACCTGCGTTCAAAACAACTGGGAACTTGGAAATCTCCGACCAGACTTCAGTGCGTTCAAGACAACTGGGAACTGGAGAAAAAAGTAGCTCCAACTGGGAAAAATCGTTTCGAAAGGTCATCCAACTCGGGCCTCTTTCTAGAGCTCCGACTTCCCGACCTGAAGATCACGGACGTCATGATTTGACCTTGAGTTCGCACTTGTCTTGAAAGCACCACAGGATGCTGCAGCAGCAGCTCTTATGCTGTCTGACAGATTCTCCACTCAAAGGCTCTGTACACGTGTGAAACATAAAATACATAACGAATATACTGTACACACGCGCCAATTTCATTTCACTAAATTATGCAAACGTACCTATAGACCGATAAGCATGACCAGTCAAATGTATTTCCATCGACTGGTATTTCCATCAATGAATAGGCTAAAAAGCATTATTTCGCAATGGGATTATTTCTTCTCCCGGATAATTGGCCGGCGGCAATTTTATTTATCGGCTTTTCTATGTATTTAAAATCGGACAAAAGCCAGCTATTACCGGCTAATGGAAACTCTGACACACACGTAACACTCACGTTGAGGTAGCGTCCCAGGTTTCCCTCCAGCTTGGCGTCAATGATGTAGCAGGACTCCTCGCCATCGAAGAACTGCCGTGTGTTTTTAGGTCCACTGTCTCCCGCGTCCCCACCCTTACCCTGCGCCCCTCCGTGGCCCCCCGGGCCTCCCCCTGGCCCTATCCCAGCCCCTCCAGTCTTAACCATCAGGCCATGGGAGTTCTTCAGGGCAATGCCACGCGTGGACTTCACAGCCACCTGCCTCTTCACCGCACCTGAGACAGGAGGCAAGGAGAGGAGGAGAGGAGGCAAGGAGAGGGAGGAGAGGAGGCAAGGAGAGGGAGGAGAGGAGGCAAGGAGAAAGAGGAGAGGAGGATGAAGGGTCAATTCAGGGAAAAGCACCACAAGAACAGGTCTGGCAATACCTGATATAAAGCACAGAGATCTATGAACCCACCGCCCCAAATTCCCCCTCTCCTCACCTTGCATGCGTTTTCCCCTCCCCCCATTCTTCTTCTTCCCCCCTGCCACCTCAACCCCTACCTCTCTCCCTCCTCTCCTCACCCTGCGTGCCTTTCCCTCACCCCATTCCCCCCCCATTTCCCTTCCGCCTTCCTGTTCTCCCCCTATTTCCCCCCCCCTCACCCTGTGTGCGTTTCTCTCTCTCCTTGTTGTCGTCAGATCCAGAGCTGATGGTCTGGACGTCATCACTGTCCGACAGCGTCATCACATCCTGTCTCTTCACTCCCTCCGTCTTCACCGATTGGTTACCGCTGGGGGCGCAAAAACACACAATTACCTTACAGACTCACTCAACGTTATCTAATGTTATTCATATGGCACATTTTACCAAGTACATTTGACATTGTGCAACACAGGCCTAAAAGAGCCAAGCCAGGGTTAAATAGGTTGAAATTACATTTCACAATCTTTCATTACGTACCTTTTGTGGTCTCCGGGCTCCTAGAACAGAGAACACATGAGAAGGTGTATCAGTATCCAATCACAGCACCGGAACACAAATCACTCATTAATAAACATGAGAAGGAATCAATCATTACATGAGAGGGTGTCCAATCAGAACACCAGGAGATGAAAGCAAGAGATCGAGGCTGATCGATTTCTCCTAATATATGTAATAGGATCTACACAAAATAGCTGAGGTGGATATGGACTCCTCTCTTCCCCCTCTCTCTCACCTTCTTCTCTATCTTCAGTCCCTCCATCTTAACGGTGGCCTGGGAGGTAGAGGGTTGGTTGGTGAGCCAGGATGCTACTTTACTCTTCCCACTCTCCTCCGGCATGGGGGGCGGCTTCCTGTCTTCCTTTCCCCCCACTGACACACTCATCCCATCCTTACTGTCCTGGCTCCCTGGATGGGGGGAGGGAGACAGGATGAGGGAGGGAGGAGGTGACAGAAAATATAAATATAATTTTAGATCACACTGCAACATGGAAAAATGTTAAATGCAGCTGTTTTTCTCAATATCAAATATATCTGGGTAACAATTAAGTACCTTACTGTGATTGTTTTCAATGAAAATAGTAAAAACATCTATATATTGTTTCTAGAAAATTGAAATTTCTCAAGCAAGAATCTTGCTAGGACTGTCTGGGAGTATTTGTATTTTTGTATTCATTAAGGATCCCCAGTAGCTCCTGCCGAGTGGGGAGGGGAAAACAGAAAACTAGCTGTTATTGGCAGAGACGTTTGGAACTCTTTCTTATTAACTCATTTACTGCCCAGTGATGTCACCAAGCAGGACAAAACTCCATCCCACCACAACAGGCTGACATTTCAGGCGGTCTTTTCAAATAGCTCTTACACTAAAAGGGCATTATCATCCTTTTCACAATTTCACAGTATTATTCCAACCTCTTCAGTGTGGAAATATATATAAAACACAGGAAAATCACATTTTTGACTGCACCGGGCCTTTAACATAATTTCTTACTGCCATGTCATTATTACAGTTCCAGCCTTACAACTGTGGGTTCAAGTTAAGTGCACACACACCTTCCTTGACGCCCTTGGCCTGGCGGCGAGTGGTGTAGCTCCTCCACACAGAGCTGGAGCTGTAGTAGGGGTCCTTCACAAACGTGTCGTCTGAACTTTTGTCGTTGTTCGACTCCTCATCACTATCCCCATCCTTAGAGGAGTCACCACCAGCACCCCGCGCTGATGGAGAGAAGGATGTCGTAAAACGGTAAATGGTGTTATTTGAGACTCTAGGTGAGTCCTAAATGGCACCATAATCCCTATAACGTGCACTACTTTGGCTCTGGTCAAAAGTAAAAGCCAGACTCTTTCTAGACTATTAAACTGTGACCCCTCACCTTTGCCGGCGGGGTTGGTAGCATTGGTTCTCTGGGGGGGTTTGGGAAGGGGCTTGTTCTGCAAAGCCAGGGAGGAGGAGGGGGGGTTCTTCAGCCTGGACATGTCCACCCCGCTCCCGTCGCTGTCTGAGCAGTGGGCCTCACTCTCATACCCTTCCTTGAAGTTCTCCACACTCTCTATGTGGTCCAGGTTAGCAAAGTACTCATCACCCATCTCCAGACCTTCCTTGTCTGCAAAGTCATCTGTCAGAATCTTACCTGGGAGAGAGGAGAGGGAGAAGAGCGTAAGGGAGGAGAGAGAAGAGTGAGGGAGGAGAGAGGGAAAAGAGAGTGAGGGAGGGAGAGAAGAGAGTGAGGGAGGAGAGGGATGAGAGGGAAGAGAGAGAGAGTGCCATCACAGCAGCAAGATTTGTGACCTGTTGCCACAAGAAAAGTGCAACCAGTGAAGAACAAACACCATTGTAAATACAACCTATATTTATGTTTATTTATTTTGTACTTTATACATCATTATAACACTGCACATAGCCATAATATGACCTTCGAAATGTCTATTCCTTTGAAACTTGAGTGTAATGTTTACTGTTCATTTTGATTGTTTATCTATTTCACTTGCTTTGGCAATGTAAACATATGTTTCCCCATGCCAATAAAGTCCTTTGAATTGAGATGAGAGGAGAGAGGAGAGAGGGAGAGAGGAGAGAGGGAGAGAGGAGAGATAGAGAGAGGGAGAGAGGGAGAGAGGAAGAGAGAGGAGAGAGGGAGAGAGGGAGGAGAGGAGAGAGGGAGAGAGGGAGGAGAGGAGAGAGGGAGAGAGAGGAGAGAAAACGGGAGGTAAAGGATGTAGGAACCCTTTCTATGTTGTTATTCATTCTGCATACATCTGTAGGCATGTAAACAATGACATACACTTATAAGGAGCCATGTGCTGTTATGAATGCTTATGACAAGTCTTAATATGCAGTCCACTTCCTACATGCAATGTGAATACCGGTACATACTGTTATCCATGTGTAAAGCCTGCTATAACACTGTTCTGTCCCCTCCTCCAGCTAGTGACGTACCGGCGTAGATGCAGACGAAGGATCCCTTGGCCACATCGTCCAGACAGCGGATGCCCCAGCCTTTGTTCTGGGTCTTAAAGAGCTGCAGCCTCACCTGCAGACCGTGCTGCACCAGACGGTTACTACACATCTGACTACAACACTTACACCGCTTATTACACTCATATATCCTGAGAGAGAGGAGAGGAGGAGAGAGAGAGAGAGAGATTAGTACGAGGGACGTCTGTATTTGTGACTGTGTGTGTGTTTGTGTGTGTCTGTCTCTCACCCGGTGGGCAAACACTCCTCCAGTCTCTTTTGTGTGTATCCAGCAGCGTGGTTGATCTGTGCTCCAGGAGTACAGGCTGTGGCCTGCAGGGTCAGCTGGTGACACGAACACTTGGACCTGCAGAACACATACACACAATCCCCATTTCAACACTTTAAATTGACTAAATGAGTTAATCACTGATTTAACAATTGGACAGGTGAAATCTATGTAGTGGAAGCCATGCAGAAGACAGAGCCCAGATGAGGGGTCACAGAAGGGTCAGAAGGTCAAGAGTGATAGTACTGACCTGTCCCTGCAGCCGTCGGTACAGTCACAGCCCACCAGGAACTCTGGACTGGTGTTTATGAACACTCCGTCTTCAGGGATACGCTCCTTACCTGGTAACACACAGATAACCATCAGTTACTGACGTCTTCAGGAATTACACTTATTCCACATTGTTAGGTTACAGCCTTATTCTAAAATTGATTAAATTGTTTTTTTCCCCTCATCAATCTACACACAATACCCCATAGTGACAAAGCAAAAACTGTTTTTTATAAATTTTTGCTAATTTATAAAAATAAAATCATGAAATATGACATTTACATAATTATTCAGACCCTTTACTCAGTACTTTGTTGAAGCACCTTTGGCAGCAATTACAGCCTTGAGCCTTCTTGGGTATGACGCTACAAGCTTGGCACACCTGTATTTGGGGAGTTTCTCCCATTCTTCTCTGCATAACCTCTCAAGCTCTGTCAGGTTGGATGGGGAGCGTCGCTGCACAGCTATTTTCAGGTCTCTCCAGAGATGTTCGATCGGGTTCAAGTCCGGGCTCTGGCTAGGCCACTCAAGGACATTTAGAGACTTGTCCCGAAGCCACTCCTGCGTTGTCTTGGCTGTGTGCTTAGGGTCGTTGTCCTGTTGGAAGGTGAACCTTCGCCCCAGTCTGAGGTCCTGAGCGCTCCGGAGCAGGTTTTCATCAATGATCTCTCTGTACTTTGCTCCATTAATCTTTGCCTTGATCCTGACTAGTCTCCTAGTCCCTGCCACTGAAAAACATCCCCACAGCATGATGCTGCCACCACCATGCTTCACCGTAGGGATGGTGCCAGGTTTCCTCCAGACATGACCCTTGCATTCAGGCCAAAGAGTTCCATCTTGGTTTCATCAGACCAGAGAATCTGGTTTCTCATGGTCTGAGAGTCTTTAGGTGCCTTTTGGCAAACTCCAAGCGGGCTGTCATGTGCCTTTTACTGAGGAGTGGCTTCCGTCTGGCCACTCTACCATAAAGGCCTGATTGGTGGAGTGCTGCAGAAATGGTTTTCCTTCTGGAAGGTTATCCCATCTCCACAGAGGAACTCTAGAGCTCTGTCAGTGACCATCGGGTTCTTGGTCACCTCCCTGACCAAGGCCCTTCTCACCCGATTGCTCAGTTTGGCTGGGCGGCCAGCTCTAGGAAGAGTCTTGGTGGATCCAAGCTTCTTCCATTTATGAATGATGGAGGCCACTGTGTTCTTGGGGACTTTCAATGCTGCAGAAATGTTTTGCTACCCTTCCCCAGATCTGTGTATCGACACAATCCAGTCTTGGAGCTCTAAGGACAACTCCTTCGACCTCATGGCTTGGTTTTTGCTCTGACATGCACTGTCAACTGAGGAATCTTATGTAGACAGGCGTGCCTTTCCAAACCATGTACAATCAATTGAGTTTACCACAGGTGGACTCCAATCAAGTTGTAGAAACAGCGCAAGGATTATCAATGGAAACAGGATGCACCTGTGCTCAATTTCGAGTCTCATAGCAAAGGGTCTGAATACTTACGTAAATGAGGTATCCGTTTTTTGTTTTTAATACATTTGCAAAAATATCAAAAAAACGGTTTTCGCTTTGTCATTATGGGGTATTGTGTGTAGATTGCTGAGGAAATGGGTTTATTTAATCCATTTTAGAATAAGGCTGTAACGTAAGAAAATTTGGAAAAAGTCAAGGGGTCTGAATACTTTCCGAAGGCACTGTATTCACCATAGAATTAGAACTTCACTAATCCCATTCATCCCAATATTCTAGTTTTATGACTTCATCTCAACTGAATATCAAATGACTCCCTTTTGCTTAGTGTTGTGTAGCTAGCGCACCACCATTGGCCCGAACTATACAGGAAGACCTAGGGCTCTGATGGGTAATCATTTGATTGAGGCCTGTACAGTAACTCAAGGCCTATATACTGATTAAGTAATCCCCCCTCCCATCCTCCTCACTGTAGGCCACATCGGGCGGCGGTGTGACGTCGATCTCATTGACGCAGGACAGGGGAATGTCCTCGCGGCCGTTGGTGATGTCTCGGATGTAGTAGTAAGGCTTCTGGGGCTGGAAGCGCCGGTCGACCAGGACGTAGGGATCCAAGCAGAACATCTCCAGGAAGATAAAGTCACAGCGCGTCTGGAAGAGGTAGCGCTGGATCTCCGCCATGCTGCGCAGACACAGCCCACATGGAGACTTGTAGATCACATGGAACGACATCTGACGAGGGAGGAGGGGGGGATTTGGGGTGAGAGATAGTTAATACCAAAATCTGTCCCCCCTATAATGATCCCAACCGTGCTTCCTGAAAGATAAAATACTTCTCAAAGCTATTTTTCTCTGTCTTTACCTTGCGATTGACTCTCCGTCGCCCCGTCATGCGTCTGAACTCGTACAGTAGAGGGGTGAGCAGGGGGTTCCTGCCCCGGTGCATATCTGCTCTGGAGGGCCGGATACGGTTGAGACAGGCAGGCTGGCAGGTGTGAGGCAGGTAGAAGATGCGGTCTGTGGGGGCGCGGTACGAGGGCTCGTGGGGAATCCGGTCGTTACTGAAGGTGTATGGGGTCACTGTGGGTGCAGGGGCAGTCGGAGGGGCTTGGGGAGGAGGGGGCAGGGACTGCTGCTGGTGTTGCATAGGCTGTTGGGACGTGAGAGTCTGGATGTTGCCAGTCTGAAGGACATACATTCTGGAGAGGGAGCGGGAGAGTGAAGATAGAGTTATGAATAGATTCCTATAAAACTTTGCATATTTGTGAGTGTGGCTGTTTAGTAAGAGATTATGTTTTTTTATTTTTATGATCATATATTTTCCTGTCCCCCCTCTCTCACCTGGATGAGTTTCCAGGAGAACCAGTTGAAGGCTGGGGCTGTATGGCTTTAGGGGCGTGGCTATTACTGGCCAATCCAGAGCGAGAGCCTCCTTGAGGGGGAACGTACGGAGAAGTACTCTTCTTAGCCATCTGATACTTAGGACTGTTGAGGGGGTGGGGGGAGAGAGAAAGAAAGAGGAAGAGGAACAGGAGGGAGGGAGGAGCGATCAGGGAGAAAAAGGGGTAAATGTAGCAGCGAGGGGGGAGAGAGAATGTCGATTTTCAAGGAATGTCACAAGGTTTACACTGTGTGATTCTGTGTGTGTGTGTTACTCACTCTGTTCGTGCGGGCTGATTGGGCTGGGAGGGTGTAGGAGGGATGGAGGAGGGTGGGGAGAGGGGATGGAGGGATTAGTGGGGGTCCCGCTGGGGGTTGTGCTGTTCCCCCCACTGTGATACTGGACCACTGGGCCCTTGGTCCTCAATGCTCCTACAGAGACACAGATAAAATGGTGAAGTAGAGATTAGAGTTATCCAATGAAGTAGAGATTAGAGTTATCCAATGAAGGACAGGCCAAGGTTCCATCAGGTACAGTATAATATGTGATCCCGCTGGGTTATTAAAGATGGATTGATTGGTGAAGTGATTGGTTTGTTTGTCCATATATTGATTGGTTAATTGATTGATTGACTAGAGGGAGTGTTACCCATGTTGGGGCGTGTCCTCTGCTGGCCAGCCATCTTCTTCTCCTGGGTGTTGGCACAGTTGGTCTTCAGGTTGAACATGGGTTCCAGTCTGGTTGAACCGCGGTAGATCCACTCACTACGCTTGTCATCCTGGAGGAGAGAAACAGTAGACTAGATTACCACAGAGAATCACTTTCATTCATTCAATTGCTTTTTTATCTTATCCACCTTATTTTCATATTTTGTTGAGTGTCAAGTCTGCTGAAGTAGTATAAAAACGTGATTCAAAACAAGAAACTCAAATAAAATACTTTACAATGGTATCCCTGTTAATAAAATATGGTGTGACCATCATGTTAAATCATCAGACTATAAATAACGTAAAGTTTGGTGGTAATCAAATCCCAGTGATGATGTCATCATACCAGGAAGAGGATCTTGACGAGGCTGCCATCCACCTCCTCCACTCTGCTCCTCCACCACGTCCCCTCCCACTCTGTCTTGATGACCTGGCCTGCCTTCAGCAGCACCATGGGCCTGTTGGGGTACGAGGTTATATACTCCTCTATGAAGTCTTTACACGACGCATCCTCTATGTCCTCCCATGTACGCTTCACTGGGGGAGGAGAGAGAGTGAGGGGGGGAAGAGAAAAGATGATGGGGGAGAGATAGAGAAGATGATGGTGGGGAGAAAGAGGGGTAGGGGAGAGTGAGAAGATGTGAAGATTATAAGCTATGGTCACATCCCAAAACCAGATTGACAGGAAAGAGAGGAGATCAAGAGAAGGAAAGAGAGGACATGAAGACAGAAAGGAGGGTTCTTACTTGGTCTGCAGACAGGGTAGAGCTCAGGCAGGGTCACGTAGGAGGCATAACCGTCGTCAAAGAAGATCAGGAACCTGAAACACACATAGACAACTGTTGAAACACCTCCGCAACCCTTCACCAAACACACAGAGGATATTTGAAACATGCTCACACACACACACACACACACAGCTTCTCACCTCATGCGGTTCTTGTTGTTGGGCATCTCTGCTACGATGCCCGCGTAGAGCCAGACCTGGTTGCCGTCCTTGTACTTGGCGACCACCCTGGCTCCCACGTATAGCCTCTCCAGGGTGGGGTGGTAGTGAAACGCTATGTGGTTCCCAGACAGTAGACTCTTCCCCTTGTTCTCAAACTTCACCTTGTACTTACTGTAACCATTACCTACAAACACACACATTCTTAATGTCAAACTTCACCCTGTGTGTGTGTGGAGAGGTCTGTGTGTGTATGTATGTATGTCTCACCGACAGGGTTGATGGCGATGAGCATTCCGCTGTGCCAGGTCTTGGTGCGTTTCTTTCCCAGAAGACTCATCTCCAGTTTGATCTCATCATCCTTCAGGGAGGGGTTAGGCTGGGTGGGTGTGTTCCTGGGTGTGGCCTGGGACACAAACACCGCTGGCATGGGTACCGGGCCACCTACACACACACACAAAAAAAACGCATGTGAACTTTTGTGCAGTATGTACACACACAAAGACAAGAGAGAACGCCACCTAGTGACCCGGAGGAATACATCAATCACACAGACATATAGAATGGCACATTTGTGCTATTACCTGGCTGTTGTATAGCAGGGCCGGAAGAAGGGTTTTTGTTGACTGTCTGGGCCAGCTTCAACACCTGCTGGGAGGAACGCTGGAGCGCTGCCGACGCCTCCTTAAACTGCAGGACACACGTACGCGCACACACAAACATAATTAACACATACATATGGATATTGTTCAAACTTATTTCTGGCTTTCACCTACCACCTGTGTATGTATGGGGGGGGGGGTAGTGAGGAAGGGATAGAGAGAGAGAGAGAGAGACAGGGAAGGGAGAGAAAGCGAAAGAGAGACAGGGAGGAAGAGAGACAGAGAGGAAGAGAGACAGATAGGAAGAGAGACAGATAGGAAGAGAGACAGGAGGAAGAGAGACAGGGAGGAAGAGAGACAGATAGGAAGAGAGACAGATAGGAAGAGAGACAGGGAGGAAGAGAGAGAGGATGAGCTTCAACACCGGCTGGGAGGAACACTGGAAAGCTGTAGATAACAGGGTCAATTAATACACATTCAATTAACACGCGTGTGTGTGTGACTAATTCTCTGTTCTCACCATTGCATCCTGGACAGGTATCCCAGGTTTCTTGGGTGGAACCACTGTGAGAGGAAAGAGGTCAGAGAAGAGACAGGAAAGAAACAAGGTTAGACATTCGCTCCTGTGTTTTATACTGGAGCTGCCCTTCTGGACAGGTTTCCTTTGATAAACATATTGTTTATCTCACTGGGAGTAAATGTCAGTACGTACGTAAGCCCACAGCGATGACATCATCATCGTCATCATCATCGTCAATTTCTATTACATCAGAGGACAGAGCCCCTCCCACTCCGCCCTCATCCTCTGAAGAGCTCTCCTTGTAGACCAGCCCCATCTTACTGTAGGTGGACTTCACCAGAGCCTCACACTCCACTATGGACCTGACACACACACACACACACAAATGGAGAGAATCACACAGACGTTAACACGCACACACCAGTCCTATTTTACAGTAAGCCGGGCCTCACATTCTTCTATAGACCTGACACACACACACACACAGGAGAAACACACAAACATCAACACAAACATCAACATCTTTCACATCTCCCTAAAGTCTTCCACTCTACTATGGACCTGAGAGAGAAACAAACAAAACATAATGATCATCCCCCCACACACACTCACTGGTTGGCGTTGTTGAAGAGTTTGTCCACCACCTCCTCTTCCTTCTCTTTGTTCTCCACCCATTCCTTGAGCTCAGCAAGCTGGGCCTTCCTCTGGCGGACTGCCTCGCTCCTCTCCACCTCCTCCTCTATCCACTTACTCAGCTCCTCCAGAGACACACCCAGCTCCTCCTCCAGACCAGAGTCCCAGCCCTCCACCTCCATCCTGGGGGTACAGAGAGGGAACGGGGGGGGGGGGGCAGGCAGAGAGAACGACGATCACATGAAATTGAAAACACTTGCAATGCATGACCTTTGTTACAATATAAACTACCTAGGGTGATATTTCAAGAGATTGTTGAGACATGGGGAAGTATGGGGAGAGACACACAGGGAGGGAGAGTAAGAAAGCAATGGGAGTAGTGGAGAAGGGGAGGAGGCAGCGAGAGAACAGACTGAGTGAAGACGAGGCAAAGAAAGTGAGAGAGATTTTGTGGTCCTCTGTAGCTCAGCTGGTAGAGCACGGCGCTTGTAACGCCAAGGTAGTGGGTTCGATCCCCGGGACCACCCATACACAAAAATGTATGCACGCATGACTGTAAGTCGCTTTGGATAAAAGCGTCTGCTAAATGGCATATTATTATTATTATTATTTTATTTATTATAGAGTTAGTTAAGATTACATTGTTGCTGGTGTTAGCCAGCTAGCTAGCTAGCCAACTACACAGTATCCTGAAACCTGTTTTAGTTTCATGGCCGATTAAACACGTTGGGACTAAAACTCACCTGTACAATCTCTTGAAATATCACCCTAGGTAGTTTATATTGTCACAAAGGTCATGCATTGCAAGTGTTTTCAATTTCATGTGATCGTCGCATTGTTTTGAAATGAGGGACCACTGTGCCTGACTATGCAGGGATATTGACACTCAAGTGCTCATGTCATGTTAGTTGTAGTCTTGAAGATTCTAAAATAACGCCTTTAACTAATCAAACTAATTTAACTAGGTCAAAAGAAACATTTGAATGAAAACTATTGTCATCAAAAACCTTTCACACCATTTGTAAATCATACTAAAAAAATGTTTTTACTACAACCACCAAACGTTACATCGTCAAAAGGTTAACACAGCGGTGCGCAGAGAAGACGCGTTTAGCAGTCCAAAATATTGTACTGTAGTAGCGTTAAATGAAATTCCTGGGCGAATGCAGTTTTTAAAGTAAGTGTATTTGTGAACATAATCACAGTGGATGTTCATTTATCGGATAAGTTGTGTTTATTCAAACAATCTTGCCAACTCGCAAGTTACCTTGCAAGCAAGCTAACGTTACTGAGCTGGGGAGGCAGACTAGTTAGCAATTTAGCTAGCTATGCTAACAAGCTACATGCAGTTCAGTCTTTTGTAGTTGGCTCCTCCAAGTGTCCTCTAAATCTATATCCACTCACAGTATAATGCATCTGCAACTAAAAAAAATTTCATGAATCGAGACAATTTTTATTGGAAGTTAATGAACTCACCCATCATTATTGTCCATTATCCAGGCATTCAGCGAGAAAGCTGCAGACCACTCACAATACCCCCCCTCCGCATTCAACTTCTTCTCCTGTGGCTTTCCGGCAGACTAGACGCTGTGTTGCATATTGCTGCCCTTACAGGTCGGAGTGCGTATTACACCATCTAACCCTACACCTATACACTATCCCCAAAAACCCATCACCCCATCCCTCTACTTTGGCCCTAAACGATCCTACATCAGGCAGTCGGCCTGGGATGATGGAACGCCTTCTCTCAAAACTTCCTGTAGATCTTCTGCACTAAAATCTCTCGCACTAAAGTTTCTCTGCTGCTGCAACTACCATCTATCCAGTGGTGGAAAAAGTACTAAATTCTCATACTTGAGTAAAAGTAAAAATACCTTAATAGAAAATGACTCAAGTAAAAGTGAAAGTCACCCAGTAAAATATTACTTGAGTAAAAGTCTAAAAGTATTTCGTTTTAAATAAGTACAAGTAAATGTAGTTGCTAAAATATACTTAAGTATCAAAAGTAAAAGTACAAATAATTACAAATTCCTTATATTAAGCAAACCAGATGGCATAATTGTCTTTTATTTATTTATTTACGGATAGCCAGGGTCACACTCCAACACTCAGACATAATTTAAAAACAAAGCATTTGTGTTTAGTGAGTCCACCAGATCAGAGGCAGTAGGGATGACCAGGAATGTTCTTTTGATAAGTGTGCGAATTGGACAATTTTCTGTCCTGCTAAGCATTCAAAATGTAACAAGTACTTTTGGGTGTCAAGGAAAATGTATGGAGTAAAAAGTACATCATTTTCTATAGGAATGTAGTGAAGTAAAAGTAAAAATTGTCAAAAATATAAATAGTAAAGTACAGATACCCAAAAAAACTACTTAAGTAGTACTTTAAAGTATTTTTACTTAAGTACTTTACACCACTGCATCTATCTTCTGTGATTTCCGCTCCATCAGTGCAGTGCAGTTGATCACAATGGCTATTACGCAAGAAATCCAACCTTACTAAAACTCATCCTTTCTGGCTCTCTCTCCAGGCCTACTCACTGGGTGCCTCCCAGTCGACTCACTGACCCTTGGGCTATCCTCTACTCTCTTCACTGCCTCAGCATAGGAAACTTTCTGCCCCACTCAAACTCTGGCAATCTCAACCTGTCTCTCTCTCACAGGGTACTTCGGATCCCCAGCTGCATGGGCACCCCCATAGTTGACACACTGTGCTTTCTCTATCCCAACTGTACACTCCCTCTAACTATGCCCTCCTGCACATTTCTCACATCGTGGGATCTCCCTTCTATACACTGCTGCAATGTGTCCGAATCCTTGGCACCTAAAGCACCGAAGTGGGTTCAGAACATAGGCCCTCACAGAATAGCAAATATAAGCTAACCTGACCTTATCAGGTAGAAACTCTGTGTCAAAGCTCAACAAGACAGACAGGGTATTCTCAGTCTCGCCATTGCCACCGGGTCTATGTCTCACCAAACGGCGGGCGTCACAAACACTAGGAATAAAACAAAAAAATAGCTTTTTGAACGGTCATCCAACTCGGAATTCCAAGTCGGAAACTCGGGCATCTAGTCTAGAACTCCAACTTTCCAACCTGAAGATCACTGACGTCATGATTTGACCTCGTTTTTTTCCCAGAGTTCCCAGTTGTCTTGAAAGCACCATTAATGCTGCATTCGTAACCAAGTGGGAGGTGGGAATTTACCAGTTCTAAAGTTGTCAATACCAGTTGGATGCATTGACGTGTTTTGAACTCATTGAGAAACGCTGATTGGCTAATGGCCAACAAGCTGCGTAAACCATACACTAAAAGTTCAGCTATCATGCTTGTAAATAAATTATAGGTGTTCAAAAACCATACTAATAGACTTGGAATTCCGAGTTGGATAACCGTAAAAAAAAAAATCCCAGTCGGAGCTCGTTTTTTTAGTTCCCAGTTGTCTTGAACGCACTGAAGTCAGAAGTCAGAGATTTCCGAATTCCCAGTTCCCAGTTGTTTTGAACGCGGCAAAACCACATTATGGTCGCGTTCCTCTGCTCAGACACTGCATGCATCACCCAATGCATCAACCAATGGTTGCATGCCACGTCATTGACTGTGCCGTCGGGCACCAGATTGCTATAACATATGATGTGGTTAAATGATCGTAAAATAGCTATCCAGGCGTTGTAAGATCTGGCATGCGTCAGCAATGCCTGGGCAGAGGTTCAACGTCTGGTAC